ATCGATGGTGACGAAGATTCCGAAATAAAATCCACCCGTGCTCGAGACACACGGATGCAACTTAACGAGACGACGTGCACTTAACGATGTCGTTTTGCTGGAGACGCGAATTCAACGTAGACGATATCCGACATTAGGTGACAGCAATTTTGATTTCATAGTTACGCGAGAGATGAAATTAGACACGGGCGTCGGAATATCGGATTATCGGCGGCATGAGTCACTTGAAAACATGTTGTTCGCAATCAGTACGTTCATATCGAATTCCCAATTACTGTAGTCTGTTTTGCGTGCACGACGCACGCCGTAATGTAAATTTGCTGTGAATTTTTTTTATGGAGAAAATATTTTAGTAAGAACTATGATAAAATTATATTTCTTTTTTGTATTTTTGAATGTTTTTCCTAAATCTGAGCTATATACTGAAGTTATAGTTACAGATTATTATATAAAAATAATAAATTTAACGATTTACCTGCACTGAGAGAAAAAACAGTTAATCCAACTAAAATTTCAGTTATTTTTGATACCAATCTGGTACCATTCAGTTATTTTTGGTACCAATTTGATATCATATGTTTTGGTGGTTCTAACAAAATGGTAATAGTGATATGCACATACGGTTATTATTATTAACATAATAAAATTTAATAAAACATTTTTCTTGACCATAATTTGTAATAATTGTTTCTTTATGAAATTGTAGTTGTAAATAACAAATATTTTTTTTTCAGTATAATATACGATATAAAAATTCATCGATTGAATATCTTTTGTTTCTAAAATATCTTTTCTTTCAGTATAGTAAAAACATATTTCTTTGTCAACAATAGAAATATGTGAAGATTATTTGCGCGATACTATGCTCGCTATATCTTACGAATGAATTTGCAGTTCTCAAAATAACACGTGAGCTCTTTGCACATTTTTCGATCTTTCCAGGAGGTGTCTTTGCCTGAAGCATTAAACACATCTCTTTCTTATTAACAATACAAATACAATAAAAACTAGCCTTTGCGCGACACCATACGTTTACGAATTAAATTCGTGGTAGTCGAGCGTGTCTTATCGGGAAAATTGTCACGGAAGTCGGTAACGTGTTGTACAATTCCATACGAGAAGTTTTTCCGGAAACAACATCTTTCTTCTTTCCCGTATATTGCCCAATTCCTTATGGCGTATTAAGTTTTTATGGCTTTTTTTACAACACTCTTGGGACAAAGAACAGGCGAGAACCTTGCGCGCGGTAGAGACTACTTTTCTCGAAAAAAAGAAGGATGATTCGGGGGCAAGAAGGAGATGTGTTTTTTTAGGACTAGGAGGTCAAATCGGCAGACCGAGGTTTATGTGTGAAAGTGATCCTTTAGTGGCGAGTGCAAGCCGACTGGGCAGGTTTCCACGAAAATCCTCGTAACGAGCTGTCACCGGCAGGCCTGTGGCTCGCCATGGAAGGAAACTTGCAATGCGGAACACACGCGCAAACAATTCGATGGGCAAATACAACGCGCGCCCTACCCAGTCCTTGAAACGCCCCCGATCGTTTCGCCGTTCCTGTTGACAGATATTTTCTCGATTGTCATGCCGCCTCCTTTCGCTTTCGCTTCGGCGTTCCTTCCGCATTGGTCGATTGTCGGCTGCTTCTCGTCGAGTAATTAATTGCGGCGAAACACATCAATCGAGTAATGCTCGTATCACACTAGCGATGGGTGACTGTGTCGTGTCCATGATTGTTTCTTGACCAATCAGCAAGAAACTGCTGATAATCGGAGGATTTAATTGAAAATTGAACTAAATCTAAACTCAAATCTGAGTATCTCATTTAAAAAGAGTTTCAAGTAACGATTATTGATACAGTTAAAAAATCTATATTAGTAGCAGTTCTTGAAACTTGGTAGAGACATTCTCTCAGATAAGACACTCAGGTCCGTATTAATAGTCGTTGCTTGAAATCCCTCTCAAGTGAGATACTCAGGTTTCAGTTCAGAGTCAGATGAAAGTTTTTCAGTTGAATCGTGACTACAGATATAATGCCACATACATATCATATAACTCAACTGAAGAATTTGGCTCTCTGAATAGAAATCTGAATATCTTATACGAGATAAGTTTCAAGTGACAATTACTAATATAGTCCTCAAATTTTAATTAGAGTTAATCGTGAGTTTTCCAGCTGAATCACGACTGCAAATATAATATCACATATATTATATGTAACTCAAATAAAAAAATTCATCTGAATCGGCAAATTCAACTGAAAATTTAAGTCTGAACTCACAATTAGACTGCAGTTACCAATCGTTGGCATGATATAACGTTTGCCTGCACACCGTGATACAAAGGTACACTATGAAATTCGCCAGAGTAAATATAAGTAACGAGGTAAATATTTGAAAATGAATGGCTCCTCAATCTATAGATCGCCCCTGTAAAGGCGAATTTCTGCTTCATTTTGCCGCTGGTGTCAGGCGACCTTGTGGCGCGTCGCACTTGTACTAACACAGTTCGTTGCTCTCGTTCGCTTGCCCGACCTACGACACGCTCGATCTCGTCCTTTACGACCTGTAATTAGCGTCGATTCTGTGGGGCCAATTCGGCCCGTCATTTAGCCCGCATAAGGAATTGATCGAAGGGACGAAAGTGAAACTCCTCTTGCTCGGCGTCCTCGAGTCCTTAAACCGGTATCAGAGATATAACGATGCAATCGAGATAATTGAATATTAAATAACTCTTAATTAAATGCTTTTCTAAAGCCTCAACGTGAGAGAAACGATAGTAAAGCAGTACTCTATATAAGGTTATATCTGGAGATTCTCCACACTGAAAAAAATTCATGAAAATTTATTTAAGAAATATAAAGTTTATTTCTGTATAAAATGAAATTTATTTCATGAATATACCTATGAGTAAACCTTTTTATATTCCACAAATAAATTTTCAAGTATCTTCTTCTCGATTCATTGATCTCCCCTCGACGTACTTTATAGGATTAATGTAGAAGCAGTAATTTCGACTCGGGAAGGAACTGCTTTGTCGAAATCGATAGGAACTCCCGGCAGACGCACGTAGTTTTCGTTGTACCGTAATTTGCCGGGTCCTTTTTATTCTGTTATTCGCGGTGAATTTTGCCTCGCCGAGATATGAATGCGTCTCGTCTTTCCCTCCGTGCTCCTACATCGGCTTTTCTACCGTCGCGTCGCGCCGCACCGTACCTGTGCCCCGTTTATCTCGCGGGAAAAGAGAAGACGAATGTCTAATGGATTTAGCTCCCTATGGAGAACGACGTTGGAGCTGGTTTTGAAAGGAAGGTAGATTCTCTTCGGCGAGCTCGCGCGCGCCCGCCCGGCGAGTTTCGACGTGTGAAGAGGGAGTAAGTAAAATCGTGGGAAATGCCTTGCGTCTGGAAGCCATTCACGCGACACGATGATGGAACGTCTCGAAAATTTGGTAAGAGCCGTTCCGTGCGACTTGTTGCTCGGGTAAATGTGACCGGCGAAATCAGAAATTCTCGTGATACGCTGCAAAGACTGGTTATGCAAGAACAACGTGATTTCGTGGTTCACGCACGTTGAATCGCATTAACCTCGCGCGAAGACCAAATTTCTACTATAATTTCTGAGGCATCTATCTCTTAAACTCGCATCAATAGTCGTTACTTGAAACTTTCCTATGTGAAATATTCAGATCTGAATTTAGAGTGTTAGATGAATTTAAACTCACGTTTAACTCTAAATTAAAATCTAAAGGTTTCACCTGAAGCAAGTTTCAAGTAACGGCTATTAATATGAACCTTAGGACTGTATCAATAGTCATTACTCCTCTTAAATAAGATATTCAGATTTGAGTTCACTTAGATGAAATTTTTCAGTTGAATCCACTGATTACAGATATAAATGACACGTATTTTCGATCGAAAAACTTGGATCTAACTCTGAATAAAAAACTGAGTATCCCCAACATGAGACAAGTTTCAAGTAACGATTATTAATACAAGCTATATTCTCACTGATGAATTTATCGATTAAAAAAGCTCCCGCGGGTGATTTTAATAGAAATTTATCCACTCTCCAAAGCTCATATACTTATAAGCAGACGCCCATGTGCACGCCGTTAAATTTTAATTAAACGTATAGCAATAAAAAATGAGACATTACGATCGTTAAAAAAAAAAAAAAAAAAATATATATATATATATATATCAATTCTCAGGGGTATATATTCTACGGGTACACTCCCTTCCTTCAGTTAGGACCATTTTATTCAATTTTGGCACGACCCCTGAGAACGAACGTCCAGTTTAAATTCGCTTTGATGTATTTACACCATCATGGACTTTTACGACTACTCGAAAAATACGCAGATATTTACAGGGAGGATTTAGTAGAGAGGAAAAGCGCTTCGAAAGTATAAAGGACTAGCTTAAACTACCCGGGCCCGTTACTCGGGCTTCTTATATCTAGAACGTCTAAACTTAAATTATCACGAAATATCAAGGGGATGAAATCAAGGAGATAAAATCAAGGGATGGGACTTTATGTAGTCTATATTTTTCGCAGAATCCCAGAGAGTAACTATCTAAAACTTGATACAGGTCGGTCAAGGGATCTAGAAGTTAACAGGGAAAAAAAACATAGATATTCTATTTTATATATAATAAATATAGATAAATATAGATAACTGTGGAAACAAAACGGTTTTGACGTGGGTGGATTGCGAATACAAGCTATTTGCGTTATCACATAAACGGCGATGCGACCTTGCATTAAAAATTTCGCCGCTAATTAAGTAATGAAACATGTTTGTGTTTTGACGAACGAGATGTTTTGTTTTCAGTCAAATCTAGCCGAAACAAACATGTTGTAGCAACGCGAGATAATTTTGACACAATCTGTACGTTAATACGATCAACGAATACCCAGAGTCAAGTGTATTGTCGCTTGAAGGTCGCGCGATCTTGAGCGCGCCGGCACTCAAGCGTTCACGCAGTGTACATAGAATCATAACAATCTTTGACGCGCGCGAGTGAACACGTCAGACTACATCGATCGTCGTTTTGGATTTTGTCAAATAAAAAATAGCAATCTAAAAAGAACAAGAAATAACTCGCGCTGCGATCGTCGTGAGTAGCGATGGTGTTGCATTAATTTGAAAGGTGATTGCACCATTCCGAATCGAAATTTTAGTCCTATTTTCGACCCGAACTTTCTGACATCCATACACTCTGAAGAATCAGAACATATTTAATATACATGGCAACTAAAATCCTGCTTAGCGCTTCCAAATGGCAGAAGACGCACAGAGTAACACTTGTAGATTCTAAAGAGGATTTCTCAGCCAGTAAGTTAAATAAAAAAAGAGGCCGATATAAGCTTCAGGATATCAAAGCAGACATTAAATGAAATATTGAAGTCGAATATAAAATTGGACAAAATTTCGATTTGGGTCACGTCGTTTTTATTGGATATGAAAGAAAAATACGGAGTCAAACCTCGCGTTTTCGATACCTCCATGAATACTGCTCGTTACTCTAAACTCATAAAAGCCAAAAAACTTTTCTAGCGTTATATGACCAATCAGAAAAATTATTTTCTGTTTCAGACTTGATGAAGCTACAGGCCACATTGCGGAGGTAGTTCCAGTTCCGATGAATGCTGTACCGGAGGATCCGGTTCGAGCCAAGCAGGGTCGGCTCGAAGGTAGGCTTATAGATTATTTGACTCCTTCCATTTATCTGTGTTTGCGGTCAAGAGGTGAAATATAGCTGTTGAGAAAATCGTTGACTCGCGTCATAATAAAGTGCTATAACTCGCTGTAACTGTACTCATCCATTTAAACTGCTCTCTCTTTCTCTCTCTCTCTCTCTCTCTCTCTCTCTCTCAGCTCTGAACTGTTGTTTGTTTCAGTCTGTAAGCGGAATGTGGCCGGCCCTGACACGGTGAGTCAAAAATATAGGAACAACAATTGTACGGTGATGGATATAGACATGTATCATGTTAGATTCATAGGTGGGTTTTTGTAGAATCCGTTGAAATCAGTGCGATTTATTTGGTAGAATTTCGCATGTTTTTGTGTGCATATATGAGTGAAATTCAGGTGCTCAAATAATCAGAGGATTACTTCTTCAAATGCATTTATTACTTAATGAATATTTAAAATATTAAAAACGTCTCTCTTTTAAATATATTTAATCTTCAAATTTAGCAAACATATTTATTCAAATGTTGATATTTTTATATTTATTTCCTGTATAATTATTTTAAATATTTTTATTTTTATATTTAAGGTTCAAGTTACAATTATTTATAAAATCTATTGATATTACGTGTGATCCTTTGATTGTTTTGAGCAGTGTATGATATACATCAAAATCGCACTTATGCACATTAAACTCTCCATTATTTTATTCGCGTTGATTCAGATTTTGCGATTACTTTGTTTGTTTGTCAATTTAGGTTTCGTGATTACTTTGCTCGCGTTTATTTAGATTTCGTGATCACTTTGCTCGCGTCAATTCAAATTTCACGATTATGATGTGCTCGCGTTATTTCAGACTTTGCGATTATCTTGTTGATGTTCATTCATTCTTGAGTTCACAATTATTTTATTCGCGTAGATTTAGATCTTTTGATTCCTTTGCTAGTATCAACTCAGATTTTACGATTATTTTGCTCACTTTAATTCAGATTCTGCGATTACTTTGTTCGCGTAAATTCAGATTTCGTGATTACTTTGCTAACGTCAATGTAAATTCTGCGATTATTTTGCTGGCGTTAATTTCAGATTACACAATTGTCGCAATCATTAGTATTGCGACGTCCGCACAGCTGTCAGTATTGACAGATTTCGCGGTCGATGCGTCCGCTTTTCAATTCACAATTTTCTACAAACAGTTTTCCACATCCGCGATTCGCGAATCGGGAATGTGCTCTCAAAACGACGGCATGTATCGCGTCGCGAGTGTGTTTCTGCAAAAATAGAAATTGTAAAAGAATCGTGTGAAGAAACACTAAATTACTCGTATTGTGTGACAAAAATTTGCCAAAGAACTGGCAAATTCCAATTTCGTTTCGATTTCTCGCATAAATATTTGTTTTTCCATCGATATCGTCAAGATATTCGTAAATCGTCGTCGCGAGTGAAGTAAAATAAAGTGCAAGCAACACGGGGCGATGCAGGAGGAAGACTGAATGCCAAGGCGATTCCGGAGCAACGCAGCAGCAGATTTCGTTGGTGCACATCGTTGGATATCGACGCGACATGGTGAGCGTGCAATTGCAACGCTGACAATGCGTTATTATATTATCATAATGCATGCACAAATTGCATTGATTTCAAACGGAGAGTACAGGCGGTTGTATACTGCCGCTTACTAGCTATGCATTGTAATTTGACTGCGAAGCATTCGCGGATAATTTAATCGCTGCGCTGAAAACACCTGCATTATCTGTGTATTGCTATTTGAATGCGCATCATACGGATAATTTAATATCTGCACTGAAAACTGTGAAAATAGTAGCTGTGTATTACTACTTGACTGCTGAACATTCGGATAATTTAATATCCGCATCGAAAACTATTTGAGAGTATCCGCGATATTTTACGGCTGTCTCCTCAGGAGTTTAACTATACGCGAACATTTTTGGGCTTTTGGGCGAACAGGGTTTGCGCTTTTGAAGTTTTAGAATGTGCTGTATTAATGTGTTGAACGATGGTCTAGTAACATCTTTTTTGTGAACACACACACACACACACACACACACACACGCGCGTGCGCGCGTACTCTAATGACGAGCCTGGGAAAGGCCGCTTCGACGTATATACTCATTAATGCCGCATACTTCCTGAAACGAAATGCGTGATATATCACTTAATAAGACCTTATTGGCTTAATTTATCAAACGTTATGAAATACTAATAAGCGAGTCGTTTTAATTCCGCGAAATGAGATTACGCGCCCGGTTCGCAATTGAAGCTCGCGCGGTTTAAAATTCCGCGTCGGATGAAACAACGTGGCATTAAACGGGAACGAGCTGTTCGGAAGAGCCTTAATCCGAGCGTAATAAGAATGCTGGCCGGCACCAGCGGGAGCAAAACATCGAATTTCCCGTGTCTCTCCTTGCTCGCGCAGGAGAACGAACGACCGCGCGCCTCGGCGATTTATCATAGACAGAAATGCAATTTTCCACAATGAGTCCACCGCGATTAAGTGACCCGAGCTGTCGAGAACTTAGCGCGGTGTCGCACGGTCCGTGGCAGTAATAGGATCCCTTAAACTCCTTATTATGAATTATGTGCGCATTTTCCTCCTTGCACTTTCTTCCTTTTATCGCGCGCCTGCTACCTTCTCCGTAAAAGAAAAACTAACCTTACGCTGAAGTCCTGATGTGTTATAACATAAATTTTCGATGCACCGTATATGCGCTATAAGCATTCGTAAAATGTACGGTGGAGTTTTCGCAACGTATTGAGAGGCTTGAGTAGATGCGAAAAGTTCTTTCACGTACATGGCGGATCGGAGGAAACGGACAATTAATCTTTGTACTCGTATGTCTGTCTACGAAGTTGCCGAAATTAAAGGGTTTATTGAATGTTTTAATTTATTTTAAAAAGAAAGCGTTATTATTTACTATTATTATTTTATAAAGTGTTATTCTTTACTTTCAAAAAAATATATAATTAGAAAATAACACACTGAGAGAAAACATATTTAAAAAATAAAAAGAATATTTATATATTTACTCAATGGATACTGATAATGTATTTTTTTTTACTTAAATCCAAAATTTACTTAAATCCAAAATTTCTCTTTTAAATAAAATAAAATGAAACAATTTAAATAAGAAAAAATATTTTAACATGATAAAATAAATATAATTTTTTTTATTTAAATAAAAATCGTGAAAAGCTAAGGTTTTAAGAGAATGTACATTTCCTTAGTTGAGAAATATTTTATATCGGTACAGGTAAACATGTTGTTATTAGCCACCGATTAGTAAATATTTTTCATTTCTTAGATATTTTTTTTCTCTGTGTCTATAGAAAATCGTGAACAAAATATCGCGAAACCTGAAAATTACACTCATTTCTCTCTTATACTCTGCACGAAGAACACGTTGAAAAATTTATCAATTTATTATGAGCTGGCTGATACATTAGGTTCCTCAAAATTATAACGAGCACAAAACGTACAAGAGAACGATATATTAGGGTCAGGCTTTTTTGTTAGGAAAGCAACATTCTTAATTCACGAAGGAACTCCCCACTCATTAGATCCTCTAATAAGAATCCGGTCGTAAGATAACGCGAAGGAAAACAACCGACAAGGCCGATAATACGTACTAATAGTTCTCTCTGCTGAGAGGGAGATGGAGAAAAAGAGAAAGAGAGGGAGGGGCGAAGCCGTAAATTATACAATACATGAGAGGGTAACTTGACATCCACGGCTCGTTGGCGATTGAAATGCCACGGGAGTGCTGGGCTTAAAGCGTCAACTTAGTCGTGAAGAAAATGTTAGCGCTCCTGCTGCTACACCTCCCTTCTCTCTCGCCCCTACCCCTCCCTCCCCATCCCTCTCGAGTCATACTAACCCCCGGGGCTAACCGGAGCAGCTCGGCCGCGGCTCGAAATAGCAGCGGTTACGGGCGCACTGCCGCTTGCGCCGAACGTACTGCAGTAATTGTATGTGCACGGCGTAATTGCACGTTATTGTGTCGCACGACCGAAATCGTGGAGGCTCGGGCGAATGCGGGGCGAAGAGAAACGGAGACAGACGGAGAGAGTGAGGGAGCGGGAAAGGGAAGGAGAAGAGAGAAAGAGAGGGTGAGAGACAAGAAGGAGGGATTGAGGGAGCGATTTTATGAGAGAAATTACAAGCCTCGTCGTCCTTCCGGCGATGGAAACGAGCCCGCGTTGCGTCCGTCTGCCGTAGCTCTCGACGTAACGTTGACCGTGTCTCCTATCCGTCTCCCGCGCGGAATAAAATCGAATTATGCCGCAGCATGGCCGAATCGAGGACACCGAAGATTCGCAATTATCCGACGAAATTTCATTCCGTTCTCATCGAGCGTCGCGCCGTGTCGAGCCGCGTCGCGTCGTGACCCCCGCAAAAACGCACCGCCACCATCACCACCACCACGACAACGACGACGTCGTCGTCGTCGTCGTTGTTGACGCGCGGAAGTCGTTATTTTTTATTTGTGATGACCAGGGTTTGGCGCACGCGTCAACGACAATGAATGAAGATAGTGGAATAAAACGCGCCTCATTGAGGATGATATTCAGAACACGGGACAAGTAATCACAAATTCGCCTCAGCAAAGAGAGAGAGGATCTCCGCACCACTGGATCAGCCTTAAGGCCCAGGAAATTGTCATCAGGTCGTCGCGATTTTGACGCGTCGCGTTCGATTGAACGTGCGTGCGCATTTCTCCACCGATATTTCTCTCGTTTCTTGATCGAGCTTCGCCGCAGTTATCGAGATCTGGTATTGTTTCCTTTTTTCTCATTTTCTCTTTTTCTAAGGTATCGGCAATAATAAGTTTTTGTGCCGTTTGGCCAGGAACGGTCGGTTTAATTCTCAACGTTTCGCGCCGAAGAAAGTAATACAATAGTTAGCTGCTGGCTATAATATTTTATCGTTAATTAACTTCACTTTGCTGAGGCGAGTGTTTTACAGAGAAACAGAATTCCTGCGAGTCGCACGGTAATAGAATACGGACGATCATTTATTCTCTTAAAGTTTGAAAAACAGCGGCCGACGTTTAAGCGGAGGGTACGCGGTATTTCGAATTAGCGTCGGGAACAGCGAGGGGAGGAATACAATGTGGAAGGAAGGGGAATAAGCTGCGCCCTGGGGCGGTCCAAGTCGGGAAATAATTACATAAAATATCGCTCTAGTTTCGCGCCAGTTCGCGTGTATTCCTAGTTGCGGAATGCGTCAGTTATAGAGATAAGATTTAACGTCAGTTAAGAGTTAAGATTGAATTAGCCGTCCAAAATAAGCCGGCTTTCAGCGGATTATCAATTTAACGAAGGC